GACAATCACAGTACAATCAAAATTATGGTTTGGTAGGGTTTTTTGCTACCTGAAAGGACATTGTGGAGAGGCTGGTGCTGGTCTCTTCTCACAGGTGATTAGTGATAGAACAAGAGGGAATGGCTTTAAACTGCAACAGGGGAGATTCAGACTGAATATCAGGAAAAAAATTTTCACAGAAAGAGTGGTCAGACAGTGGAATAGGCTGCCCAGGGAGGGGGTGAAGTCACCACCCCTGGATGTGTTTAAGGGTTGTTTGGATGAGATGTTGGGGGATATGGTGTAGGGGAGAACTTTGTAGAGTAGGGCTGATGGTTGACTCGATGATCCCAAGGGTCTTTTCCAGTCTGAATGATTTTGTGATTCTATGAAATATATCAAACAAAAAAAATCTGGTAACAGATACCAGGTTAAACCCAAGCCTTCCACTTTCTAAGGTGATTAGACACTGCTTATTATTAAAATTAATATTCCTCATGAACTTTTTTCCAACTGGTGAAGTTCTACATTAATACAATTGTTTCCTAATGAACAAAGCAAGTAACAGCTTCTAAAAATTTCCAGAGAGAATCCAGTACAGGATCTGTATAAAAGAAACAGGCTGGGGTTTTTGTTTTACCAAGACTAAAACCTTTCCTATCTTACCTGTCAGAGTACACATTCATTCACTTATTTATTCTCTTGGAAAGTAAATTATTTCCTTGTAGTAGAGTGGGATGCTTCCCTTATCTCTTCATTAGCATCAGATTACTGAAATAGAGTTACACAAAATCTTTTTAAGCACTGGAGGGTTCTGCAGGTACAGAGACAACCACTGTGTGCATTCTTCAGTGATCAATGGCTCTTCAAGGCAGGTTCCAAGGCTGAAGCTTCAACATTGCAAAAATGAGTGTATGGATAGTCACTGAGATAAAAATGCATTATTCTGCTAGTCTCATTTTTGCTGTATATAGTATCCTGGACACAGAATGTACTGCCTTTTGAGAAATCATGTCATAAGATAAAAGGATGTCAGAGCATGTAATGTTGTGACATACTGCACACAACAGCAATACTCTTAGTGAAAATTAAAAATTCACAATGTAGCAATCATGAGTACCACCTACTTCAGCAACAGTATCAAAAGTGGACTGGGAATGCCAACGGAAAGACAAATACACCATTGTACCCAGAGCAGTAAGCAAGGGGACAAAAAGCCACAGTTGGGCAGTAAAGCATAAAGTTACAATAAAATACTGTTGGAACGTCATCAAGATAATATATTCCCTAACTAGTAGAAAACATGAGGGCTGTTTTAGACTGTGTATGTAGTCAAATTAATAACATGTTAAGAATTCACATTCCTCTTTTATGGATATATCAGTGGTTTTTACAGTGTCTGTCCTCTGGAAATGAATCACAGACCTAAAGCGTGAACTACTGGCTCTGCATGCAGACACACACACAGAGCTTAGATATCATCACCTGCAACCCACACAAAGGTGATCCCAAGCATAACTATTGTTTCTTATAACTGTGCGATCGTAAAGTACTGAAAACCGCAGTTTTCACCTGCAATCTTGCCAGACATGTAGTTTACACAAAAGTTACTATATCAGAACATCATCTCAAGCCAGGCTACTGGTAGTCAGAATTACAGAAGGTATGAATGGGTGGGCTATTAAAGACTAGTGTTTATCAGTATGGGTTTTTGGCCTTCTTAGAATGCTTTTACAAAGGCCAATACCTCGCAAATTGCACACTGCCCCTTATCTTTTCATCTTTTCTACTGCAACCTCCATCTCAACACATTTGTCTGCTCCATACTGCAGTAATGCTTCATCTAAACTGTATTCTATACCTCTCTACTTGCCTTCTACCTCTTCCAGCAACACTGTTCATTGGTGAAGGACATGTATTTCCTCTCTACTTCTGCTTTTCAGGGACAGTTTCAACAAGACGACTTTCCAAGACAGTCAAACTACACCTTGTCAATCAGCAAACTCCAGTCTTATAGCATGGAGATGCACGTATTTCTGTAGGGGGTGTCTTCCGTGGAACAGCAAGCTAAAATGATTGGCAATATTTGGTAATCACAGCCTGGGACAAACATGCTGCTTTGCAGCCTCTGTCCAGGTTAAGAAGAATGTGTGGTCCCATACCTGCTCCTGTCCACAAAAAACTGTTTTGTGAATCTATGTTTATGTAGGCCTGTACTACAGTCAGGTTTTCCAGACATATCAAGTGATAGTTTGGCTGTAGTTGAGCTGGGATACCATCAGAATTTAGAACCTAAAAGGAAGGAGATGCTTACAAGATTAACATATTTATTGTCTTCATTGCTTGGAATAAAATATGGCTTAATACCTCGTCTGGTACCAAGGGAAAGCACTATTGAAACTGACATTTCACAAGGGGTAAAAAGGACCAAGAACAGCATTTTTCAAGATGTTTGCCTTTGTGACACCATAACACCATTCAAAGATAAAACCAAAATACCAGTGATTGGCAGAGATACTGACTCAGGAGATGACTCAGAACTTACTTATCTAACACAAGCATTAATATCTGTTATTTAGCCCCTTAACTCTATTTGGATCGATGCCAATTTTGCATAGTCCTCAGGTCTTGTCATCGCAATCTCTGGTATCAGAATTGCTGAAAAAAAAAAAATATTCAAGCATAACCCTTGAAATGAAAATATCCATTGTAAAGGAATCTTCTGTTTCCTTGACACTGAAATGCCTTCCCCATTACCAATATTTGAGATTGTCTCCTATTGTCTATGAAAGATTTCTAACCATATTCCTCCATAACCATAACCAATATGAGTTACTGTTAAGGCAGACACATTTTTGCTGCATGCCACTGGTCACTGGTTACTATAGAACAGAATTATCATTTTTCATCTGCAGAGACTGGGTACCTTGGACACTTGCAAGCTGGTGGTATTGCCATTTTTGGCAGGAACATGCTCATCAATCACAGCTGATTTCAAATCAAGAGAAAAATCACCTTCACAGGCTTTTTGGAGATAGTCATTCAAAGATATACACGGGCATAAAATCCATCATAAAGAAAATACAGGGGATGAAAGAATGCCTCTGGCTTTGTACACAGCTAGAGTATCAATTGACTTTGTGTATAACTACAATATCATTTACACGAGATCTTATTGCACCATGTCAGAAAATCTCAGAAAGAATGTTTTGTCACCTACATCTGCCATTTTCTCCTTGTTTAGGATCAAATATCTCAAATTTGACACTATAGTCAACAATCTTTAAGCCTTAAAAAGATGATACCCATTTAGTTCCTGAAGTACTTTTTAAAGGAAGTTCAGCCTACCATGACATACAATGGCTTCTCTATGTTAAAAAGGACAGCTAAGTGTTCAATTACAGACTGCATCTCCTCCCCACAATTAAGGCCTACTGTTATGAGAATCTCAAGAAAGAACTATTGTACTCTCTACTTCATTTGCATGCTTTGAAACCACTGACACTGCTGTTCAAGGAAAGAAGACTTCCATTAGTCTTTCTTCTTCCATGCCCTGTCAGAAAAAAAATAATGTTTTTGTTCTACAGTAAATTTACAGGTGACCTCTGATCATCTGGAATGCCCATTGAACCGGTACTGTTTCCCACTTGTGTGATCTGTATTTTCAGGTTCTATAAGTTGCCTATGCTAAAGACACAACATCACTTATTATTGACAACACCAGAATATTGTATATCAGTGCAAGGCAGGGGAAAGATGGGATGAGTTACTATGGAAAATCTCATAACTTAAAAAAAAAAAAAAAGGTATTTTATCATAAGTACTTAAAATTTTTGCAATCTAAAACTAGAATCATCTTCCTTCACAGAACTGTGCGTTGAGTATCTCTTCATATCCTTATCAAAGAAAACTAGTCATCAGGCAAGCGTGATGGATGAAATAAATCTCATCACTTTTACAAAGGTTTTCACACTGACACTGTAACTCAAACTCAGAGTAAATTTATTTTCAGAGTAGCCTCAGATTTGGCAGTCTTGATATGTACTTACTAATGTTTTTCTTTTAAGAATATATTCATGTGAGGGAAGCCTATGGTATATATCCTACACAATTAAATTGTTTTCTCAAACATCAGTGACAAATCCAAAGGAACAACTGCAGCACAGGAACTAGATTGTTAATTGCACAATATTGTGTTTCCTCAACAGAGCAACTCCTATTTCAGAGCTGTCCTGTTAAGAGCCCTAATACCTGAAATGCATTGGCCTAGATCTCTCACCTATTATTATTAGTAGGTCAAAGTCAGAGACAAAGTTTGGATAAGCAATTTTATCTTTTTCAGATCCCTTCTGACACCCTCAAGAGCAAACAGATGGCTAACTAAGATGAGTAGGATCTACCCACATAGAAATTCAAAGGAAAACAAAGAACTATTCACTTCACAGTCACTATTACTCTTTGAGCTGCTCTGTGCATGAGGATGTTGGTTTGCTTTATACTTCCACTGGCAGAATATAGCACTGGTCTTTCCAGAGCTCTGAATGGCAGCTGGGAGCATGCTGTTCTTCATCGTTCACAATAAAGTAAAGGCAGAGGATATACATGCCTCTCTGGCCCTTCATGAATGTAAAAATTACTCCAGGCTTTTCAACAAAAGGTACGGGCATTCGCATCTTGACCCACATATAACAGCTTGAAGAGCAAGTTAGCTGTACTGCTTCCTAGTACACAACCACTTTTCAAAATCCTCAAGTGAGCTATTGGCTTTATTTAATTCAACTATATGTTACTCAAATTTACATAAACCAAAAATTAGTATTTTTGTGTACAGTGTTCCTCTTCATGCTTGAAAAACATTACAGAGGTTCATATCAACAAGTAGCAACACAATCAATGACAAATGCAAAATACCTCAGAATAACATTTCATCAAAAGACCAGTACATCTAGCTACTTAGTAATGCACAGCACATCCAATCTAGAAACATTCCAGAAGAGAAAGAGATAAAAGACTTCCATTACCTTAGAAGTCCTTATATCCCAAGCTTTAACTTCTGAGCTGAACCCTCCACAAATGAATATATTTGACTCTGTAGGGTGGAACTTCAGCGCGCTGATCCTAAATTCATTTTTGCTGCTAAATATCTGCTTCCCTAAAATAAAGTGAGAAATGGAGATTAAAATTTGAGCAGAAAATGAAATATGTCATTCATTTCAACCTAGTTTCAAAAATATCAGGGTTGTCAAAGGTGAATCTGTTTATATTAACACATTTCAAGAATACAGTGCTACTCCGATTTACTGAAAACACAGGACTGAACTCACCAAATTCTATCCACATGAAATTGCTCCTGCTCATGGGACTCTGCACCACTGACTCCTTCCTACTGAAAAGAGAGAATGAGTGGTTTCCTACACTAAGGAGCAGAGCTCCTATGAGGTCTCATTTCAGTCAACATGCAGGACTAAATCTATGAATCTTATGGTTGGATGTTTCCCTACAGAGAAGCCATAGCCTTTTTTACAGTGGGATAAAAATAACTAGAACAAAATATTATCTGTACAGAAATAACACGTCCCAAACTATACTACAACTCTTGAGTTGTTTACTTAACTTTCTGTGAAGGTAGGAGTGAAACTTCATCTTGAAAGTAGGAAATAATTTGCATACCATCATATAAAGGCAATAGCTGTTCCCATGGATACACTGTTCCCAACATTTAATTGTGTACACTAATCTCTGCAGGATCCTGTGGTTAGTATCAATTGAATTGTCGACACTTTAGAAGGCAACAAAATTCAGCTAGGTTAATTTATAGGACTTCTCCACAGTCCGCTGCTTCCTTTCATCCTAAAAAATTCATGATATTAATGTACATTCACTGAAATACAGTTTTTAGAACTGCAGCATGGACCAAGATAAATACATTTGCTCAGTTTCACAATTTCAACTGTGCTTTATATTCTACATATCACATATAAAGACCTACATTAAATAAAGTTACTGCTTTAAGCCACAGTGAAAAAGGTACAGCAAAAGTAAAAAAAAAATATACTATGACAAAAGCTTCTTAAAATATTTATTAATCTACATTTTCAGCAAGTGAGAGTTGTTTTACGACAGGCTTTCTTAACTGACAATACTCTGAGCTAAAAACATTAGTGATGGATGTAAATACTGCTTGGTGAACAATACTGAAAATCATTCATATAAGGGTTTTTTATGCTTATTTCATGAGTTGGAGTCACATCGATTTTATCATCAGTTCCATTTTCTTCATCTACTGAACTCAACTTACACAGTCAAGAGGCTAAGACTTATCAAAATATTTATTTATTCGTTTTAAAGAAGAGAAGAGAGATTTTACTTCATCGCATGTGTTCATAGCAGGGGCAGGGAAAATAGATTGTAGGGAGTGTAAGATAGGGGTGAGTGTTGCCTTACATGAACACTGGTTCTTTTGTAGGGGTCTTTTGTTCTTTTTAAAAAGATTCTCTGTCAATTACCCAGGCAAGATCTAAAGGGCCACTCTATCACTCTTGTGTGAAAGACTCGACTCAGTACATAAGTTCCTTCCCCAAAAAGAGAAAAAAAAAGTCAAGAGCAGCACAGGTTCTCTCTACAAGTCATATGCAACAGTGACCATCTCTTACTATGGGAGCTTTCAGTACCCCAAAAGCTACAGAAGAAAAAAAGAAAAGACTCCACAGGGAAGGAAGAAAGTATTAAAATCATCACTTATACGATAGGAGCCACAAGATACTGCTCTCATGTGCACCACTACCAGGCATCATTTGCAGGCTTTACAAAAGCCACATACACATGCATCTTATTCTCATCCACAGCACTGGAAAAAATGCTGAATTTCCCCATGGAGGCTCACTAGTCAGTTTAATAGCACTTTGCTCCCAAAGGAATTTGATTCCTACTAGTACCTAGTTTAATAAACACTGGGAGTATAATCAACAAGTTTTCAATGGTACTGCAACCACAAATTAGCAAAACTGCAGCCTACCTGCACTGATCCTGTCAAACAGATTTATAAAGGATGCATCAAGCAGTCACTATTCTCCATAAAATGTGTTGTCTAAATGACATTAGACTTATAAGTTATCCAGTGGAACTCATCGTCTAACCTTCTGACAAACATTAATTGTTTAACTGGTTTTACTAAAATATGCTTTATCGCCACAAAACTTCTGAAAACTGCTTTTTCTATAATGCATACGTTTTTTGTGCTGTCGTGTTCTCTAGCCTAAGACATGGGAAAGTCGTAAGAAACAACCAAAAGAGATGTACACTAAATTCAAGATGCATTTCAGCTAATACAAGGTCTGTTACCTTTTCCACAGAAAGATTAATTTAACATAATTTGTTATTAATTATCTTTCAATCTCATCCCCAACTACTTGCAAGGAATTCAACCATTTGCTTGGTATTTTCTCCAGAAACTAAAACTCTCTAATTCCCTATTCTATCTCCTGTTTTAAAGAGAATTGGGCACTGGTTTTGCCCTTTTCTTGTCTTCTAGAGGCCATTATTTATCCAAAAGCTTTCAGTGAGAGTCACTAATAGAATTACACCATAATGATAACGCAGTGCAATGATTTCTACATCACAGTGTAAAAACAAATAAAATTCATTCAAACAACCTGGGCAGCTTATTCACCTCTACACTTTTTAACATCCTTCTTTTTCCTATTTTAAGCTGTTACATTGCCATTTGATGCAGATATTAACCATGCTAGCTTTTTGACTGGCCTGAGGAGCAATCACAATACATTAATCATAAAAGCTCAGGCTTTCCAATTAATACAATTTGAAACACAACTCTCTCATTCTCTCACACCCCAAAGTGAAATTCAATCAAGTGTCTCTTTTTGGAAACTCAGTAAACAGTGTTCTGAAGAGTCTGGCATTACTAGATGTATATATTAATTTAATTCTACTGGCATGTCAGAGAAAATGAGAAAAACGCTGGAATGTAGAAGAGCAAAGCAGCAGCAGACAACATATTCAAAAAGAGGGGATCACAACATTACAGAAAGGAAACTCTCCAATTGCTAGAACTGAAATTTATGCACAATACACAGAATCTAAGTCTGACTGCTTGTCATATAAACATTCCTGAACCCAGCAAAATGAACTTTCCTAACATCCATCCCTTAAACCCTTCCCTTTTAGGTATTAGGCCTGCAGGGCTGAAGTGCTGAGGCATATTCTCCACACTGTTATAAAACCTTTAGCACTATTATGAAAACCTCTATTGTGAAACCTCTATCTTTCAGAACCTCAAAAATTTAGGAAAAATATCCATCTGAGAGATGGAACAGATCACTGTGAAAGATGATATGGGGCAAAGTAGCTGATGCAATTCAGTATTTTAGAACAATGCAATCAACTCTTAGTCCTTTTCTGTACAAACTTTAGTGTGCTTCATTACTATGAGCAGAACTTGCTGCTTTTCAGGATGTAAATACGCTGTGTTGGAACCTAGCCCCATGGTTTGAGAAATCGAGATTCAGTGTTTGCTGGAGACCCTGCTTCACTTCTCTGGAAGCTGGTATTTACAGTTATGTATATTTTTCTCTACAATTATTCAGTTCATTAACATTATTCAACTTTTTGGGGCCTTATTTTATATATTGCAAAAGATGCCCTTTGAGAAGACTCTCTTATCCATAACAGAATACAACATGTGTAATTCAGCAAGCTTGTATATACCTTGTGTATATATTTATTGCATTTTAGTTCCTAAAGGCAGCATAACAAAGACTCAACCAACTCATAGACTGTAGAAAATTACATCTTCTGAAAATCTATTTGCATAATTGAGGGAAAATCCATACCACATATAATTTTCCTATATGAGAGGTTGTTATTCCAAAGCAGAAAGAAAATATTTCTCTCAATCTTTAATTTTCACAATTTCAGTAACAGTATCTACTACATCTTTGCAGTGTGTTTTATATTCTTAAAGTGTGTTAATTCAATTCTTCATTCATTAATACACAGTAATTCAATAACACACAGCATGAAAAAAAAATCTTTAAAAATATCTTGAACATATGTTTCAGCTACTTTATGCTGCAGCCTACGGTGAAAATGCTCAACTATGAAATCAGATATTTTAAAGGCTATTTAACATTGTGAATTTTTCACAGAACATCAGCACAGTTACTGAAACAGGATGATTCTGTAACTGTGTTTAGTGGTCCTCAGATTCACACCCTTATCTGCATAATACAAAACCACCATTCACCTCTTACACTAATCTGTAAAGAAAAGTGAAGCTTAACACTTACAAGGACATAAGAGTAATCTTGCTAAACAGAACAGATTTCCCTACTGTGTTTACAGAAAGACATGAGATAATATATCAAAAAAGTCTTATTATAGTCACACACTCTCTCATGTACAGTAGTGAGAAGAACATTAGATTGATCAGACAAAATCTGTTCTAACAAATCAATGTTGACTGTTATTTATTCACTGTATCTTGGTGTGTTTACAAATTGCTTTATTATTTTTCCAAGAACTAAAGTTACACTGACTATATGTGTTTAATTCTTTCCCCTACATAGTCACAAGTTTCTGGCATGTAAGGGTGCTTGAAATATTAAATAATTTTATCTTTTACCCTTAAAAATGTCCCCAAATATATATTTTTCTCTCTTCTTGTTGCAAATTCTTTACATTAGTGAGTATACAAAGTAAAATGCTGTTACCTCCTAGCTGAAGAGTGACCACTAAACTATGTTCAATACATTACTTAAAACCACTGAATTTTGGGGGAACCTTTGACCTCACATCAAAGATGCATGTACGCATTCAAAAGAAAAAAATAAAATAGATTTTAAAAAAGAAAAATTGATCAACAGGGTTTTTTTCTGAGGTGTTGTATAAAACCTTCATGCATATTAAAACTACATAACACTGGGCGAGAAGGGGAGGAATAGGAAAAGAAAATCACAGCTCTCCTGAGGTGATGTTTATGTATGAGCATTAAAACTTACATGAAGAAATGCAATTACATTAACAATAATGTTAATAGGATATACCCTATATATAGGAAAATATAACATTAATATATAATAATAATGTTAATGGGACTATCTATAAGACTACCAAATTAAAATACAAAAGAAAATA